GAGGGTTTATTATTGTTAAATCATCACAACACAAAGCTTTAGTGTTTGGATACATAGATGAGTTAAAAAAAGAGAACACATGTCTTTGGGCACAGATCATTAATATTCATTCACTTTTCATTACTACTTTATAAGCTGATCTGTTGACAGCACCATGTAGTACATCATCTACAGTTTAGTTTGTAGTCAGCTGTGGCGTTGATGCATTCACAAAATACCAAAAAATATCAAATTAAATGTAGCAGACAAAAAAAAAACAAGAACCGAGTTGAGCATGAGGTGTCAAGAGGTTTTTTAAGTGTGTTTTTCAAAGTGCTATTATTCTGTGGCTCCTCACTTCTCTGAGTTCCTGTGAATTTAAACCATGAGCCATGAGAACTGAATTGTCTCCTGTATGTTTTCTGAAATATAAGGCTACTTGCCTGTATGTGATTTCATGTGCCTTGTTAAATGGGACCCATCAAAGTATCTTTTCCCGCAGGTCTTGCAAAGGTACGGCTTCTCGCCGGTGTGGGCTCTTCTTGTGTGGACTAACAAGGCACTGCTCTGTCCAAAACCTTTTCCACAGGTTTTGCAAGAATACGGCTTCTCACCTGTGTGGACTCTCATGTGGACTAACAAATGATAACTGCGTCCAAAATCTTTTCCACATGTTTTGCAAGAATACAGCTTCTCACCTGTGTGGATTCTTGCATGAGCTTTCAAATCTGCTGTCCGAGAGAATGTTCTCCAACATGTGCTGCAAGAATATGTCTTCTTACTTGTATGGGTTGTCAGGTGTTGTTTCAAGACAGGTCTATGCATGAAAGCTTTCCCACATGTCTCACATTTAAACGGCTTCTCTCCTGTGTGGGTTCTCATGTGGAAAATCAAGTGACTCTTGTATCGGAAATCTCTTCCACATGTGTTGCAACAATATGGCTTCTCACCTGTGTGGACTCTTTCATGAACGTTTAGATTTGACAAAAGACTGAATGTTTTCCCACATGTCTTACAACAATACGGCTTCTCTCCTGTGTGGATTCTCTGGTGTCTATCAAATTGAGACTTACACTTGAAACTTTTCCCACAAGTGTCACATTTAAAAGGTGTTTTACCTGTGTGAGTATTATGATCAATCTCTGATAAGTTGGGGTTGTCTACACGGTTAGTGTGACTTCTGCGCTTGTTACGTCTATTCTGTTGTTCTGTCTCTGCTTCTCCACTTGATGTTGAGTCTCCTTGCTCGTCTCCTTCCTCATCTTCACTCTCAGCTCCATGAGAGCTGTGACAGAGGAGCTGCTGCTCACTTTCCTCATCACTAGGAGTCACTAGAAAGGTCTCAGTCTCCTGCTTCACTTCAAGCTGCTCTCCCTCCTGACTGCTGCACACTTCCTCCTCTTCCTCTTTAATCTGTGGAGGCTCTGGCTCCTCTTGGTCCACACTGGACTTCCTCTCCTCAATACAGAGCTGCTGCTCAGCGACAACCTCCTCCTCCTTACACACATCTTGCTGTGGGAGCTCTGGAGGGACACACAACAAAAGGAACACATACTACTCTGATGGCAAACAAGAAAATGCTCACATGCGAGCTGGTTTTATAAATATTAGTCTTCTCTTTTGTGGTATTAAAATAATAAAGTGCTACTCACCTGTCCTGTATAATCTTACTTCCGGTTTCCAAGCTATATCCAACAGTCTGCGCTGACGGTCGATCTCTTTCTCGTACTCGACGATAGTTTTCTCAAAAACTCCCAATATTTCTTCAGCAGCAGCAGTTAGTCTCTCGCTGACAAACCCTCTCAAATACTCAACTGAAGACATTGTTGCTTTGTCACAATTACAGTCACTCCAACTTTTCCTCACGGACACGGTATGTTTCTGTTGTTTACTTCCGCTGGTGTTACACCATTAAGTTCCGACAGTAGAGCATCGATTGTCTTTTCTTATGTTCCGCCTCCATTTGTCGGCACTTTTACAGAACATTATTTTATTGCAGAGTCGAGTTGTCTCATTATCATTCGTGTGAACTCAGCATAGGAACTGTTGTCACTTTTTTTTTGTTCTCATCAAATCAAAGTGGACAATGTGTAAAATACACAAAGTAGTCAAGGTGTCTCAACTTTGAGCACTTTTTGACAGCCACTCGCAAATTATGACATTTACATACAAGTTTTATGACAATAAACTCATCAACATGACCAGCCAATACAATATATAATTAGGAGGAATGCAGCTGCTGCAAACATAAATGAATAAAACATTCAATTTTAAAAAGGAGGGAAAAGGACTCGCTGTAAGATGAAGACATAATTGATCCAACACTAGAGGGTTTGTTAATTGAAATCATCAACATACAAAGCTTTTCTAACTCTCAGACCTGGAGACACTGTGCTGGAAAAACCTGATTCACTTTTTCATCACGCCCAAACAGATGTTTATACAAACTGTCACCCTGCTATTCTGCTGGAAGGAATGTGGAGAAATCATGGTTGACCATGTTCATATTTTCTGGTCTTGTCCTTCTGTTCAGACTCTCTGAAAGGAATTAGCAACAATCATTTCAAAAACTTTGATTTTAAGACAAGAGACAAGATAAAATTGGATAAGACAAGAGAAGATATAAGCTAAGCTAAAATATGATTGGATAAGATAAGATAAGATAAGATAAGATAAGATAAGATAAGTTAAAATAAAATAAGATTGGATAAGAGATAAGCTAAGATAGGTTTAGCTAAGCTAAGATTGGATAAGATAAGATAGGACTGGATAAGAGATAAAATAAGATAAGCTATGCTAAGATCATTTAAGATAAGAGATAAGCTAATAGGGTTGGGTAGGATAATTTAAGACAATATAAAATAGGATATGAGACAAGATAATCCAAGATAAGCTAAGATAATACACAAGCTAAGCTAATTTAGGTTATAAGATTTGGATAAGAGATAAGCTGAGCTAAGATGAGATTGGACAAGATAAGATAAGATACAATAAGATAAGAGACAAGCTAAGCTAACCTAAACTAAGATAAGATTGGATAACAGATAAACTTAGCTAAGCTTACCCAAGATAAGCTAAACTAAGCTCAGTTAAAATAAGCTAAGCTAAGCTAAGTTTGGATAAGATTGGATAAGATAGGCAACAGTAACAGAGCAGAGGCTTCCTGAGGGGTATTGCACAAAAGTAGAATAAAGAAATCCAGGATAACAGAGCAAGCGTGGCTTGACCTAGTCTGATTGGCGCATCTTGGCTTAATTGGTTGCACATTTGCTGAGCCAGGATGAAAAGGTGCGGCTATGTCAAGCCAGGTGTAGATAGTTGGGATAAGTGCACGTTCACGGCATTCTTAAATAGACCACAGGATCGACCACAGAATCACTGAGTGGAAAATGGAGTCACGCTTCCTATTTTACAGCCGCTGAGCAGCAGCTCCTAATGGAGTCATATGAGGAGCTGAAACACATTATGAGAAAATAAGGAAACACCAGTACTATAATCAAGGGAAGGGAGAAAGCCTGGCAAACAACCACAGACCAGCTTAATACGTAAGTAGTCCAAAAAAAAGTACAATTATTAAACAGTAGCCTACTCCACTCTGGCCCCTTGCTGCATGTCATCCCCCCTTTCTCTCTCTCCCCCCCTCACACCCACCTGTCCTGTCCATTAAAGGCAAAGTGCCCAAAAAAATATCTTTAAGAGAAAAAAAAAAGCCCATAAAACTGGCACGGGGGGGTGGCCCACCCAGCCAGGACCTGACCACAGCAGAGGAGCTGGCACTTGATTTGAATAAAGAGAGGCCAGTGACAGAGGGGATCCAGGGAGGGACTGTGACAGACTCAGTCCCTGCAACAGAAACTGGCTGCTTCATACAAGGTACACATTGCAGTACTACTGCACATGGAACACAATCAAAATTATTATACTGTCTGACTTTGGATTTCCTTGCAGTGTCTGGGGACACACTTCTACTTTTGGAGCCACCAGAAGATGATCTGGCTAATACTGTACATTTTATTGAAATCACGGGCTTGGCATGTCCTGTCAAAATTCTTAATACATGTTCTCTTGGTACATGTATGTATATGGCAGGGGGAAGGCACATCTGCAGCTGTAGAGTGCACATCTGCAGATGAGGTTACGGTGTCACTGGACTCCAGAAGGCTTGAGGTATCATGTCAATTTTGTGGAAATATCCTGCTTATTTAGTCCATAATGGATATGAAGTCAGTGATGTGGTGCTAATGGAAAATGTTATGTGTGTAACAGGACCCAGACACCTTACAGCCTCAGAAGCATTTCTTTTACAGAATTCACAAACTGTCAGAGCTCTATATGGAAAACATCTTGCGAGACAGATAGAGCTGGCAGAAGTAAAAATTCAAGTGGAGAAAAGAAAGCTGCAAGAAATGGAGCTTGATCTTGAAATTAAAAGAAGGACCCTTGTGAAACTGGACCTAGAAATCCAGAAATTAGAAAGTGTAGTGAGTATTTCAGTGCACACTGTAACCATATCTGTAATACAGTGTATTAATAGTTGTTACTTTTGCTTTCTATTTCAGGTTCCAAGCAGACAAAAGAGGACTGGAAAATAAAACAACTGAACGACAAAACATTGTGGTGTCCTCCCTTTTTCATGAATGTGCAGTATACCATTGATTTGGTGAAGTGGAATCTAAAAGATAACCACACACTGTGTGCTACCAATGCCAGATAAAATGCACATAGCCTACACAGCAAAAAGTAACATACAAGATCCTTTACTGAAGAGAGGCTATATTTGTTGATTTAACCTAAGTGGAAAAATGATGCAACATATTTAGAAAAACCATGAAAATGCTGTAAAACACATCAATTTATCACATGATTGACAGTGAAACTGCCAGATGAATCACTAGGATTAATCTTAGCCTGGTTGTTAGCCTGGTCTGGAGCAGGCTAGCTGCAGAGAATAAACCGCCATAGTAACTTGACCGGGTTAAATTTGACCTGCTTTCATGCACCTGACTTGAGGCTAAGTTCAGCCAGGATAACCAACGTATCCCGGCTTAATCCCTTATCTTGGTTTTGTGCAATATCCCTCTGCTGTAGTTAAACTAAGCATAGGAGCTGTTGTGTTGGGTTGTCATTTATTTATTTTATTTATTTATTTATTTACTGAGTTGGGACAATGCACATTAATCAACATTACTGCACTGAGCATCAATGTAAATGCGCCAGAGTTAGCACAGATGCTAAATTTCATCTGTAGTCCCAAGGCAGGTACCTACACAACACAGACACAGTAAGACTTTAAAACCTCACAACTACCAGAGGTGGAAAGAGTACTGAAAATTTGTACTCAAGTACAAGTACTGTTACATTGCTTAAATTGTACTCAATTACAAGTAAAAGTACTGGTGTTTAAAAAATACTTAAGTAAAAGTACAAAGTACTCTTCTCAAAAACGATTCAGAGTATTAATTACTTTTAACTGATGGATGTTTTATTGCGTCGTCAATAGCAGGCATTCGATGCGATTCACCTGTATAAAATATCAAAAACAGCTCACCTTATACAGTGAAATTACTGCAATGATATGACTATTATGAGGCAAGAGTGTAAACACATGGCACACACATGAATACAAGGGGCTCACTGACTCCACAAGAGTCACAGCTTTCCAGTCAGCCCCAATTTATCAATTGTAATACTGTTTAAGGACCCCAATATGCAGGAATAATAAAACAGAATAGGCGAAATTACATAAATACCGCACACAAAATAACTGCGCGGGTTTTGCACAAAACTGCAGGGATTAGAGTGAAGTGGATGTGTCTCCAAAGGGATAACGCTTATCATACGAAAACATCTTCATTCAGGTATCTTGAAGTAAGAGAACAAGGGACCCCTTGCTTGTGCCCTGTTTTCCATGCTAAATGTTAGCCTAAATTTGGAGCACTATTTACCCCCCTTACCAACAAGCTAACATGACATGGTTAATTTTCATGGTTAATGTTTCATATAACATAGCGTCACTCTAGCACAAAATATAGGCCTGCTGAATGTAGGCCTGTGAGTATTAAATGTCTACAGATTTAATTTATTGTAATGACGGTGGTTGTCCAAATATTAAGCTAAAACATTTCTAAGAATTGTAGCTCAATTATGCATGCACGCACGCGCACACATTAGCTAGCTCCGTCTTATT